CGGATTTAGCGGGGGGGCGGTGGATTGGGTGGATAGTCAACCCCCTCTTGGTGAAGCAGAAAATGAAAACATTTGTGAATATTTCGACAGAAATAAAGGCAAAAACTCTGGACAGGTACCTTATTGGGATTTCTAGTTTGTGGGCATTGTTAGTTTTTCTGTTTGAACAGTTTTGAATTAGGTTTCGATTCTCGAATTGCAACATTTTGGGCGCATGCTCCATTGATTCTGCAACCCCAAAGTTCTAACCACCCCCCACCCCCTTCCTTGAAAAATCCTGGATCAGCCTCTGTGATCGATTCATCTAGTTTACTTATCTCGAGATGTTTTCTTACGTATGTGTCCAGCTCAACAGTTTTGTAGGCACCGGTCCCATATTCATCTTGAGAAGAGTTCTTACCAATCCAGAAATGGACATCGAAATGTATTATCTGCAAAGTCAGACGGCGACAATAAACACAACAGAATACCGGTGTTTAGAGTAAAACATCATGCACAATTTGATTTGATTTGATTTGGTTCTTGGTATTTGTATTTTTTTTCTGTCGTTTTACTTTCAGATTAATGCTCTGGTACCATATATTAAAGTGTTTATATGAACATCTATTTACCGTACATAAGCCTAATTTAACTTGTAGATGTCACAAGACAACCAAAACGTAATTTCACATAAAGTAACTCAAACGCAGGATAATTAATTAAGAAAACAACTTTTGCGCAACACATGGAACATCCCAGTCGATGTAGGATAGACTAGAACTAAAGGCCGTTCGGCAGGTAAACTGAGCTCAAAGTAAGGTTTGAATTGTGCGTTTAGCGATAATAAGGGACGCACCATCAATATTTTTAGGGGAAGGGGGTGAGCAATTTTCTGGGATGTTAGGCTGAGTATGAGTCTTTTTGGTGGGCAATAACTTGCGCAAGATCATTTTTCAATTAACAAGAGCTGGATAGTAGAAAGCTCTCGCTCCACTTTTACCCCACGGCTCCCCGTGCACGACATTTTTTCAGCAGTTTTTGCTGTTAGGAATTTTTTTTGGAAATTGCCGCTCTCCCCCTCCAAAATATTGTGGCTTATCCCTAATGAGTATATATACAAACGTTTGAATTTGGATCCTTTTCCCCGTGAAGAATAATGTATGTGTCACCATTGTAAAATCTTCCATAGCTTTCCTTTGGCCAGTCTTTTACCTGCAATTACCAAAATAAGAACAAAAAATAACAAATCTGTCAGAAATTCCAAGGATCGAGTGTTCTTTGAAAGATAATCAGATTGCTTTAGAACAAGTAACACTGAATGTGATAACGAGTGCAGAGTGCACGTTCGACCCAGTGTAATTTTGGCGGGAAATAAGTGGTACCGGTCGTTAGCGGTATCTTGACATGACATTTGGCAGCGCGCGTCAGATTTGGCGGGAAGAGCCAGCCAGGAGTGACCGTGACGTGGTTACCTTGGATCACTAGAGATGTTTTCCATTCCAACAAAAATTCTGCTTTGAATTTTCGGAAATTTCCAGCAGCTGATGAAATAGCATTTTCTGGAATTTTCGGAAAAAATGACAACCTCGTGAGGTATACCCAATTTTCCAAAATTTGTTACCGAGAATTTCTGTTCCAATGGCCTTTGCGTTCAGAATTTTCGCAATTCTCGGTTGAATGGTTAGCATTGCGTAAATCAATTTTCGGAAAATTTCCCAGTTAATTTCCGTACCATTAGGCCGCATTTTCAAAGTTCCTGAATTTTGGGTTGAATGGAAAACGCCTCATTCATTGGGGGCTTGGCTGAACACTTAACGCCCGGAAAAAGGAACTGATTGTCTTGAGCACACGATATTAGGTTCTTATGATTAAAAATTCTGCTTCAATATTTACATTAACGTGCCTCGTTTGTGAGTCATTGCTTAAAAGCTTTTTTAAAATATCCTTCGGCTCCGGTATATTTCACTTCAAGCTCTCGCGGCTGTTGTGTTTATTTCTTATCTTACACACTTAGTTTAGTAATTTTTGGTGCGCTCTGTCCTTTGCTTTGTTATCAAGTCTTTGTATGAAAACTCAAATATAGAGTTTCAATCTTATCTAATTCTTTTCCGCCATTATGTCTATCTGTTATGTAGAATCGTATAATTTCAGTTGTTTTGCCAATTCAAAAAAATCTCAAAGTCAACTCCAGGTTTCTCTTGTTTGTTTTGGAACTATTGTTTTCAAGCTCTACATTATGACTATATTGTTGTGGAATTTCTCTTGTTTTGCGTCACTATTGAATTTTACAGATTTTTACGCCTAGGATTAGCCAGATGTCATCTTTTATCGCGACAGTTTAAATTTTGGGCGTTCAATAGGACAATTATTCTAACTTCTGCGCCAAGTTAGAATAATTACATAGAAATCTTACATTTATCCCTTGTCCTCGATGTGATTTTTGTTTTTATTTCCCTGATCCTCGCCGCCAAATTAGAATTTAAGAAACGTTTCAAGTCGTATTAGCACTTCAAATATGATACTAGTTGTCGAACTTGGTAGACAAGGTTGCCAAGCAACGACTCTTCTGAACAGGGCAAGCTCATGCAAACAACATTCTGACCAAATAAGGTATTTGTTTCTTCCACTTTAAAATAGTTGTCTAAAAACTGTCAAAAAGAAAATTATCTTTGTTTGTTTGCAACCGATAACAAAGCTATGGGAAGTCACTTCGAACGTAGGAAATGTCTTCATCTTTTGCCTTTTATGGTACAAAATACAGCTTTGTTGGAGACTTCGAATAAATATTAATGAATCTACTGTCGAAACAGGAGTGATTTCTTGCATAAAGTTTCAAAATTACAAAGTTTAGTTTCTTTCGTAAACTAAGGGTAGATTTCCAAACGCGCTTACATCCATTTTATGGCCATCAGATAATTCATCTGAAAACAAAATAACTTTGCATTCTAAACCTGCTACCAGGTGTTACAAAATATGTTAAACAAAAATGAAAACGTGCCTCAAAGTTTTCGATCCTCCAAATTCTTGTTCCTATCAAGTCCTCGCAGCCTTGCCAGGCCCGCTCTGATTTTGCCGCAACTTTCTTCATCTGGAAAACAATTGAAGAAAGAAATCAAATGAGATCTGGCGATATGCTAAGAAGATTCCACGAAAACTTTCAAACTTTGATATTCTTTGTACCGCCTTACTTGTCTGTCTTCTTTGCTGTTAATCCTTGCAACATTGGAGTCTTTCCAATCGTATTCTTTGGCTTTCACCAGACCAGACATGATGATAAATGTAAGGCGCTGTAGATCTGCACGGAAGGAAGGTTTATAACTACACCTTCTAAATGTGATATGGCAACTTAGAGATTAGTGAACCACCCGCTGTGAGTTAAGCTGTGATTGGTGGTTCTGATGGACCTGCATCTTAACCTTAGTTAACGCATGTTGTCGATTTTCGATTAGATTCTCTAATTTCCATAATGTTGTGTTTTCGGAATTTTTAATGAATACATCTGGTCTCCGAAGGCTTTGTACAACTGTCTCAATTCCGCGCGAAAAATCTAGACCCTCGTTAATATTGGCCGACGCCATTCTCGAAAAATAAAGAACTTCTAAGGCTTAAAATAGAAACGTAGAAGTTTACAGTCTATATGGCAATTTATGAGAACACATTTTACTCCACCGAGGAGAGTCAGCAGCGATCCTAACCTCGTTAAAACCAGACCAATAGTATTTTTTCGCTTCATGTTGTTTTGATTCTGAGAATGGAAAATCAAACAAGACAATCAAATTATTTCACAAGGCCTCTGCGAGGTTAAACGTTTCGATATAACTGTATATTGTTTGTATATTATAATAAATTGCATCAGGCCCCGTGCATAGGACGCCGGAGAAATTTTAAAACATAGATTACATTCTGAAAACGCATCAAATGTTTTCCGTCCACACTACGCCGAAGAAATTTAAAAACGCAACAATCACCGGTTATTTTGGATTTGTGTTTGAGGAAAGCTCTCCCAGGGAAATCGTGATGTAATCGTTGTCGAAAAGCTTCGTTTTCAAAATGTTTTCAGTTCACACGTAAACGCAGAGCCGGCTTTTTCACATTCCTCCGGTTTGAAGAGCGCTTTCGAAAAGCTTTTCGTGACGGATTAGTGTGGACGGTAGGCCTAACCGTTGAAATGAAGCTGCGTTTTCAAATTTCTCCGGTGTATTGTGGACGCTGCTTCAGTCTTGGTTGAGCTAAATAGTTCCAGCTATTTGTTGTCTTTAATTCAACTGTCAAAAAAAGACATTGATCGCAATATAGATAATATATATTCGAACCGTACGACTTGTATAAAAGTCTGCATTTGATCAAGGCGACAAAAGGACGCCGAAATGTCAAGAACTGGCGCTTGTATTTCTTTTAAAATATTGATTAACCTTTTTTACAGGTGAATAGCCTTGCAATAAAGCTGTCGTCTCAATTTTATACTTTTGGTAAATGAAGACTAAAATATCAAAAATTCTGTGATATTTTGTTTCTCGGTAGGAAACAGAATTGTGAGCTATACACGGGATAATTCTGTGCAACTCTGAAACTGAAAAAACATAACTTGAAACTAACTGGCCAAATAATTACAACATTTACCTCGCCTAAATAATAAAACAATTTTGCCTTGGTTTATTGGAACTGTATTTTTTTACTTCACATTCTTCCGAGACTAATTTGAAACTGATGCTTGCTGAAAATTTGCGATTGTGATGCAAATCTGACTTTGAAAAACAAGCGCTACATGTACCCTCGTGACGTCTGTGTTTATTCTACTTAAATTCGGGGATTGAAAAAAAAAAGATAAAAATAAAAATATAAAGTTATTGGTAAGGTTGGTCAGCGGACGTTACATTACTGTGATAAACAAATTATAACGGGGTAGGCTGAATAAACCATTTTGCAGGTATCTGCTCAGTGACCTGGCCTTTGGATAGCAGCGAGGCTGGAGGTGACCCTGTTTTGATAAAGACCTCACTGCTTTTGTTGTCTTAATCAAGTTGTTCTAATGTTAACTAGGTTCATTTACATGAGGAAAGCAGGGAGGTTTGTATCAAAACAAGGTCAACTCCAGCCTCGCTGCCATGCAAAGGCCAGGTCACTGGCAGACAACTGTGAAGTGGTCTATTCCTGAATAAGTAGGGTGCGCTGCATTGTTGGTGGCTCGCAGCACTTTCCAAGATGGTTCAGTGCTTCGTCTTTGATAGATCAAAACTGTCACTCCTTTTCAGCTGATACCACAGCCGAATAACATCAAACAAACGCTCAATCATTGGATGCCCAATCAACAACTTCTAGTAATTTTTCCCATATAAAATGGACCGGGGTGCTCGTCGGAAACTTTGAAAAGAACCCCTAGGGTTGAAATGTTTTTCACCCCTAAGAGGTACCAATTCTAAGACAACACATTATCTCCTGTCATTTTTTTTCGGCTCAATATCCTAAGAGGTTCTGCAAAAACTTCCGCTACGGACCCATTGAGGCTGAACACCCTGAGACGTACCAAACCCGCGTTTTAAACCCCTGAAAGGTACGACAAGCACCCCCGGCTTTGCATTTATAATTGCTCAAAAATGATCAAAAATCGAAAAAGGGTTAACTTTTACAGTGAATAACACGCATTCTTTTAAAGGACAGTGCAAGCATTTAGTGCAAACATGAATTTTTATTTCAGGCTATGTATTTGTTTAAATTTGTTTCCCTTTTTTTCAATGTTTGGTCCTTCCAAATAAACAGTTGCAACAATTGTTTGTTGAGCTTGTTAAAAACTGGACGAAAGGTTTGAAATTCTATAAATCCATTTTCCCCTCGGAATGTTACTCCACTCCGTCCAATTATTATTGCTAACACGAAACAAGCTTAAAGGTCATGACCAAAAGAACAATAGTCTTGATATTTCAACAAATTATTCCAACTGGTACTATAAAAAATACATAGATTTATCATCGAGGAGAATTTGTACGTTGACAAATGGTTGGGGATCAAAGAAGTTCCAGACTTTATGTTTTTCAGCCACACTTGAACTGTTGTGCTCAGCCGCTTTCTGCCATTATGTTTATGACTGAGTCTTGTACAATGCATAATACATAAATTCTTGCGTTTAAATTCTTTTATTATCCTCACTAGTTTTCAATTGTATTTTAATCTAACTTTGCACAATATTGTAACATTTGGTCTATTATTGCTACAATACAATCAAATGCACACCTGAAACCGACAGGACTACAGTATATAAGTGAATGCGACATGAACCTCGACCATTTTGTTGTAAACTAACTACTGTTTCGGTGAATTGTCTCAAAGCTGCCTCAAATGACTCAATTGAAACTGAAAAAAAAAAAGAAACAAAAGAAATACACAGTTAGGGCATTGCATTTCGGCCAAGTATTCCATAACAGTTCTGCCTATATAACTGTTTTAGTGGAATTTGAGACACGAAGAAGGTGAGATTGTAGGCTCCTTACCAAACCTTTTCAAAATATTTAGAGAGGAAACCACATCAGCCTTAGCTGGCTTTCACGCAGTTTCTCTATACAGGTTGAATTGGCTTCGGATTTTCAAGTGAACAATGCGTTTTAAGTACGCGTTGACCCGTTGTAAAAGGCGAGGGAAAAAAGGCGGGAAAAATCCGCGACGAAGATGGTCGAGGAACCCCCGGAAGGGACCACTCTCGCTCTTTGAGCGTGGCGCGGATCCATTTTCAGCCCTAAAAGGCACCAATTTTAAATAAAACGGTACTCATTTTGGATTTAAATACCCTAAGCCGCGCTAAAACACGGACTCTAACCCCTAAAATGCGCCCTCTCATCTTCATGTGCGAGACCCCACAGGGGGAAAAGTAACGAGTTAGCTTACCTATGAGTTTATTGCGGAATTTAGTTGAGTAGATAGCTGGTCTTCTTTGACTACAGTGATGGCGATGGTGGGATGTTGGTCCAACTCTGGACACTGCTTGAGATAATGCTGTAAAATATTAAAACAATTCGGTGGTCACGAACTTAAGTGACTGACAGCTAAATTCTCTTAACTTTCTCATCAAACTTTCAAGTCAACTCAGATAAGACTCCATTTGAAAACGTCAATGTGTTCGTACAAAAAGGGTGGTCGTCGAGGCTCGGGGAGGTCGCTATACAATGACCAATTTACGATCAGCACAAACTTTGCATTGTACAGCCAAAAGCCAGGAAACACGACAACATGCTGATGTACTGGGACAGCAAACGTATATCAAAACTTAATCATTCGGTGATTGCGTGGTACTTGTTAGTTTGAAAAAAAATGGGGAATTAAAAAAAATGTTCAAATGTTGTTGTTTATAGTGGTCAATGCGCTTAGCTACACCTAGCTAGTTCACAGGCGTGCCACTTTAACTGAAGAGGGAAATACATCATAACAGGCCTAAAAATCCCAACTGGTGGGAAAAGAACCAGTTGGCTATTTACAAGCATGACCGAGGAGGTGAACTGGGGTCTACCGAGAAACAACTCAGCTAAGTGGTCAGAGCGGGACTTGAACCTGCTACCTACGGATTTCAAGTCCGGCGCCCTAACCACTCGGCCACGCTACCTCGATAAGTTGTACAGTACTCTTATAAAGTGCCAAGATCCCTACAGAAATAACTCAGGATGCATAAACTCACGTGTCCATAGATCAGACCGCTTTTTTTGTCGCCACTCCAGTCATCACCAATCCTGATAAACAAATGATCCTCTGCATCCCTCCTCCCAAACCGCACGTCAACAATATTCACTAGCAATGAAATATGATTTGTCATCAAAAATTGGATCATTGGATAATACAATTCAAGAGTTTTCATTGGCTTAGCCATCATGGTATATGAGCCATTACACCATGCTCTACAAATATGGTAAGCGTACGCGTTAATTTTTGGGTGTTTTCATTTTTATTTTAGTTTAGTTTAGTTTTCTTTATTTTGGGGGCGTTTTTAATGAAACAATCATTCCGACGTAATTTAAACGTAATTTAGCATCTCAACAGAAAATGGCAAAATTGAATGATTGCAGACCTTCTGAAGATTTCATTTTACTGCTACAAACATCAGCTCCTTCTGCCACTGGTATGAATTCCAATTCCAACGGAGGATCCGATTTTCTGAAGGTATGAACAGATATTTAAACAATTTAAATACAACTTAGGAAGGTGGAAATTGCCTCCACTGAGCAAAATTTAAATTTTTGCGGAATCGGTGTCCAAAAACAAGGGTTTCTATAACGGTAATAGGGGTCTAATAGGTGTCTATCTATCTATGAATGGTTGAAAATCTTTTCTTCGGTTTTTAAGGTAGCAAGCATTATTCTTTCAGGTAATTACCTTAAGGTTACAGTATACCTTCAGATCGGCAATTTTCTTCAAATTTGGATTTTTGGTTCAAAGTAATGGTCGAAGAGTAATCTCTAATTTCTGA